AACTCATATATAATCCCATCAAAGGTGTGAATATGATGTTGTCCGAAAAGACTGCATCTCCCAGTTATGCTTGCCACACAAGCTGGACACAATAATATCCAATGAGTATGAAAATAGCAATGTGCAACATTAAATGCAGGCTATTTTATAGAAAGTGAGAGTTAACAGAAATGTAAAACTTGATATATACACACACCAGTAAGCTGGAGGAAAACAAAAAGTCCTTGCAGATGCCTCTTCATGTGCAACTGAATTAAAAACATAAAAGTAACTATCACAGTTATTTACATTATTGGCATTCCTTAATTATTAACAAATATGCAGGTTTGTTTAACAAGCTCTTCCTCAATTCTCAAACTAGTCCTACCTCCATTGTTCCAGATGCCAGAAAGGGAAAACAAAATTCAGAACAAGGGGGGAAAAAATACACATTCAGATGTTACATAGTCAAGCGATACTGTGATGGTCAAGAACTGGTTTGGTGGGAAAGATTTGCAGCTATTGTAGGAGATTTGTTTTATAACATAGACTGTACCCCCGCCCCGCTCTTGTGGAGTTTCCCTGAAGGCCACTCCCCTCACCAGGTTATGTCAAAAAGGAATAGCATTCTGTCTGCAATGTGGTGCCTGCAGACTGACACCATCAAATAAACTCAGCAAGACAATGCCAGGATATGCCTACTGATCGCCGGGCTGAGTGATTAGTCCACACATAACGTATCTGTGCCAGCGCCAACCCAAACAATAATAGTGGAAAACACTCTCACCAGAGATATCTCACGCAATAACACTGCGTCTGCAGTGCTCCATGCTTGGACACTTTAGTGGATTGCACCAAAATCTCACATGAACACTGAGAACAAGTGTTGATAAAAGCTCTCAGGTCAAACGGTTGGCAATTGTGTAGAATTTAGATAAAGAAGGGGAAACTAAATATTCATTTCTGCCAAAAAGTCTCTCAAATGTAACTAAATCCATTGTGTGATCCATGATTGCTGAACTTTCTGTTTTTTATTGTTTTGCAGGACCTTATACAAACTTGACTTTGTTACATTTGGTTTAATTTAGTGACTCACTGATGTTGACATATGTTTCATACTATGTAAATGCTTCTTATGTCTGAGCATTTACATAGGAATTAAATGTTCAGTAAGTAAATAAGTAAATGAGATTCAATTGTTTGATTTGAATAAGTAAATCTTGAATGATTATAAAAACAACAACAAAATTTATTATAAGATATAGTCACCATTCAATGACTAACATTGCCTACGTATTCGTATTTGGTGTTACCTTTGTCGTGATGTCACAACATCATTGCATTTCATGAAAAACATTTACCCATTCATACATCAATTGACAATCTGAGAGTTAAGTTTCAAAGCTCTTTGAGTGCTAATTATTGATTAGGATAATTAGAACATGAGTCATGCCACAAGTTTCATTTTTGGCTTCAAACATCAGTATCTATGAGTTGTGTACTTTTTCATCAGCACAGTAACTGCACAGGAGTTCATGAGACTAAATAATGTTATGTCTCTCACATTTGTGTCACACTTGTGTTAATTTGAAAGCAGACAAGCACATCCACATGATGTGTGAGAGATGCACTCATGTGGCAAAAGTACTTTTAAACCACAGATATGGTGAACGTTTTTCTTCTTGTGAGGTTAATTCATTTATTTGAGATATGTTGTTCTTGGAGCTGACTTACTAAGTTGATCACAAAGTATTTAAAAACAAAACAAAGAGAGGCTACAGTAAAAAATACTGGAAAGCTGAAAGACGTTAGTTTCTAGATTATATGTAATGGCTCTGTAAAATGCTGTTTCACGTTAGAATTATTTAGTCTTCCTAATTATTTCTATAATTAGATGCATAAACGGTCCAACTCTGGTTTCACAAGGTGAACAATTAACTGCTGTTAGGTTCAATGCAGACAGCAAAATATTAACGTCAAGCTAAAAACAAAAATAGAATGCTCGAGCACCATGTTCATTCATGTGCAGTATATTAAATGCATGAACGCGCATTTCTTATTCTGGGAGAATTGCGTCATCGCACCTTCCGGGCTTCATTTTGTTTTGTCACAGAAAACGCAAAAAGCTGCGACAGCTGGCTTTATATAAGCTGCATTTAAAACAATGGTTTAAAGTGTATTTTAGAAAACTATAGGGTACTATAGTTTAAAAAAATACTGAATCATTAAACAGTTTTAAGAAAATGTCAAAATGATTGAAAAGTCTCACAAAATATGACACAGAAACGCATTTGGTGCGTCTGTTTGCTTTTCCAAATTAATTTAGGAAATTAAAAAGAAATGAAAGGTTTTAGTCTCGTGGGGGCGGACCACTACATGCGCGCACTGCACAACGAGCCAGCGCGAGCGCGTCGACGAATTCCTGTTTAGTCCGCTGACTGACTGACTGTTATTTAGAGGAACCACTTCTCTAGTCTTACCCTCTATTTTAACACCTATTCCGTTAAACAGTCGGGAGGATTTGAAGCAGAGGAATCGCCATGGCAGCGCTGTCGGGTGGAGAGAGATGCATCAAGTATCTGATGTTCGCCTTTAACCTGGTGTTTTGGGTAAGTGCGAGGCGAGAAAACATTTATTCTCACTCGCGTCGTGCATCCTGTTGTTTAAGAACGCGCGCGGAAATGCGGGGGGCTTCACGTGCGCGCGGAGTCGTATGAGAGCAGGTTACTAGACTGTGACTGAAATGATAGGGGTGTCCCCAATCGTGCAGAGCACCGAGCGGGTCTTAGCGCAGAGGTATGATACAAAGCACTGACCGCTCACACACACTCGCGCGCGCGCGCGTAGAACCCCTCACACACGCGAACGTGCGCTCAGTGTTTGTGGATCGGTCTGGAGAATAATCCCCAGTGGCCAAGTGACCCAGTTCCACGATGCAGCGTATACTTTGGACTGTGCCTGCGTGACATTTTAATAAACGAGACCAAGTAAAGATTACACAGGTGATCCATGATTGATTTTTTAATTCGTCACGTTGTGTTTAAAGCTGCAGCCGTGCGTTGGTCGTGGGTAATTTATATTTGAGACCCACGCCTGCAGGGTGTGTCGTGTTTTATGTGAATGTGGTTGTAGATAGATGTTTTTTCCCTCTGAACATTTCTAATTTGTGAAGCTATTTATAGTGGTAGGAATAGCCATACATTAGTGGGAAGGCAGGGATTTCCCACCGTGCGTGCGCGTGGGCCTTCATGCGTATACGTGTGCTTCGTATGTATTTGCAAATGTTACAGATTTTCTTCTTCTAAAAAGCAAGTTCATTTTATACATACATATATATATATATATATATATATATATATATATATATATATATATATATATATATATATATATATATATATTTATATATATATTTATATATATATATATATATATATATATATATATATATATATATATATATATATATATATATATATATATATATATATATATAATAAATTCCCTTCTCACCCACCGCGGGTGGTTCTTATCCTCTGAGCTCGGGTCCTCTACCAGAGGCCTGGGAGCTTGAGGGTTCTGCGCAGTATCTTGGCTGTGCCAAGGACTGCACATTTCTGGACTGAGATGTCTGATGTTGTTCCTGGGATCTGTTGTAGCCACTGCTCCAGTTTGGGGGTTACTGCCCCGAGGGCCCCGATGACCACAGGCACCACTGTGGTCTTCACCTTCCAGGCCCTCTCCAGTTCTTCCCTGAGGCCCTGGTATTTCTCCAGTTTCTCGTGCTCCTTTTTTCTGATGTTGCAATCACTTGGTATTGCTACATCTACCACAACGGCTTTCCTCTGATGTTTATCCACTACGACAATGTCTCGTTGGTTCGCCATTACCATTTTGTCTGTCTGGATCTGGAAGTCCCACAGGATCTTAGCTCTGGTGTTCTCCACCACCTTTGGGGGTGTTTCCCACTTTGATCTTGGGGTTTCCAGTCCATATTCTGCACAGATGTTTCTGTACACTATGCCTGCCACTTGGTTATGTCGCTCCATGTACGCTTTCCCTGCCAGTATCTTGCACCCTGCTGTGATGTGCTGGACTGTCTCAGGGGCCTCCTTGCACAACCTACACCTATATATCTATATCTATATAGATATATATATCTATATCTATATATAGATATATATATATATATATATATATATCTATATATAGATATAGATATATATATCTATATAGATATATATATATAGATATATATATCTATATAGATATATATATATATATCTATATAGATATAGATATATAGATATAGATATATATATATAAGATTCTAAAGTACACTGGGTAAATTGATTTTAGTTTGTTTAAAACCTCAGATCGTCATGTGACTGCGGTTGTGTCATAAAGGGGAAGTGGGAGAACGATCTGAAAATGTTATAATCAATTCTTTCAACATCAAATCAGAGGAAGTTAAAATGTTCACCTTTTTGTGGCTGTCAGAACAAGGCTGATGTTATATCTCTGGGATTCAAGCCAACCTCTGTGAGCTCCAATGTCCACATATAGAGAATACATGAAACAGGGGTGAGTCTGACCGGTAGTAGGCAACCGATCAAGATTATTCCAGGAGAGCATCAACAACTCGTAAAGGGGAACTTCAGGTACCTCAGCTACCTCAGTTCAGGTCATAATTCAGTGACACAGAAGAGGCTGGGCAAAACAGAATGCAAATAATCATCAGAACACAAAGAATTACATTTTCAAAAATTAAAGAAATAACTTGATGACCCTCACAGCAGTTTTGGCATTCACATTGAAAAGCAATTTTGCAAGGAAAAGTCGTTTAAATTGTGACATATAATATTTTGACCTCACGTGAGTTTTAGTATGTTTGGAGAGTATTTTTACTATAATATACAAAATCATCAAAACCAATGTTGGCAGAGTGGAAAATAAAAAGGACTGGAATGCTTCTCTTTGGGGGCTGTCTTTGGGGGCTGTCTGTTGATTTCGGGCCATAAGCAGATGCTTATGGCCTGATTTAAGCCATTTTTGTGTCATATTTTGTGAGACTTTTCAGTCATTTTGTACCTCAGACTGCCTCCAGTTTCAGACCATAACAATCAAGCTTCTCAAACCAGGATAGTCACGTTCAGTTTGACAATGGAGCAGTAAATATGCTGCCAAGCAGGCATCTTAGAAAATGCTCAGAAAATGTTGACGTGCCTGAACAGGAACCCTCTGAAATGCAGTGGGACTATTAAATGCCCACTGCATTTGTATGTGTGACTTAAGCAAATGCCATTTTTAGACAACACAATGGAAACACATGTGGAAACGTAGCACAATGAGTTGGAAAAACACAGACCAGTCCTCATTTGATTAAACGAAGTGTGAAGGTTGCTTTCTGCACCTGCTCTGCCACTCCTGACTGTGTAATCAGGTGACTTAAGGTGTGGTGTCCCAAACGTTTCTTTCCTTTTACCCCACGCAGTTCAGCTTTCTGTTGGGCAGAAGCTAAATTCTCAGAACGGTGGATTGGCTCATACTGAGTTACTATGGCTCTTCCCAGGGGGATCAAGTGTTTAAAATATCTCATATTTATCTTCAACTTTATTTTCACGGTAGGTGCACTTTATTTTTCTACATTGTGAGAAAATATCAGACGGAGATGTTAACAATATATAGAGTCAGCCATTTTGCTGGAGTATACTGAGACCAAAAAGAGGTTTAGAAGCAAAGCAATACATGCAAATCAGGTGGGAACGATAAAACCTCACAAAGCTGCACTTTTCTCACTGAAGAAAATACAAGGTATTACACTTGCAAAAGTCAAACGTTTACTCGTCTGTCTGTACTCACATAGCTTCTTAGTGCATCACAATGTGGTCATCTTGGATTGGTAAAACATTCATTCTTTCAAGGACAATTTAAGCCATCTTTTCTTCACAGTTTGAGAAATAGAACTCCTGCAAAGTGGTCCCGGATGCCAATTTCTTGTAATTGTAACATTTATCATTTACCATGCAAATATTACATTCTTATTCTCTCCTTATGTGACTCTTAGCGTAGAGGTGAACTTATATTCTTAAATATATTTTCAGTTCTTTTCATGTGTGTCTAACAATATATAGACCTGAATCAATATACAAAAGAGACTTTAGGAACGAGGCGTGCTGATTAAATGAGCAGTTTGTGCAGTGGTTTCATCATGTACCATGTGTATTTACCACAAAGGACTCTAATGTTTACGCAGGCTTGTAAACTAGCACTACAGAAACATTTCTGAAGCCTCAAGAAGAAAAGAAATGGAAGAGAAAGACTTTAGAGAGGGCATGTCAGAGCAGATTTCAGCACAGCTGCTTGGACTTGTTGCAGCTTGTTCTGAAAGGCACCTTGATGTCAGGAAGATTTAAGATATGCCCTTAATATGGACGAGACCATTATATTAAAAGCTACAGTAGAGGGAAGCATGCAGTGTTAATTTAGTGCTAATTGTAGCATTGTGTTAACTGAGGTATGTAATGTGTGTCAGCTTGCAGGCACTGCTGTACTGGCTATAGGTCTGTGGCTGAAACTGGACTCGAAAACCAATAGCCTGTTACAAGGAGAAGATTCTCCATATGTGTTATACTCAGGTAAGACAGATTCATAAAATAACAGGCATGCCTTAAAGTTTGTATTATGTGAACTCATTCATGCCCTATGTCATATGATGTTTAGGTGTTTATGTCCTGATTGCCGTTGGAGCGCTTATGATGGTTGTGGGCTTCCTGGGATGTTGTGGAGCAATCCAGGAATCACCATTGATGCTGGGGCTGGTTTGTAGCACTTATTATAATTTTATTACCCCCCTATGGCTAAATTGGGCACCAAGGACAATGGGTATTTTGCAATTAGGGTCTTAAATGTGTAAACAGATTTGTTTTTGATGAGGAAATGAGAAAAGTTTCACTTCTACCATCAGATGCTGCTTATGTTTAACAACAAATGTGTAAATCATCAACCAAAACCTGAATATAAGATAAGCAAAGCAAAGTGATAATGCAACAAGCAAATATGTGATTATAAATTGATAACTAACATATTTTTCCAACACTATGCATTAGCCCATTTAATTAGATTGACACAGAACATATCTGTCATGCTCGGGTGAAGGAGAGTTGATGAGATAACTTATTCCCCAAAAAATTACAGATAAATTCTGTGTATACTCAGAAAAAGAGATAAAAATCATTTTTAAAAAAAGAGATAAAAATAAGTATTTAGTGACAATTCAACCTTTTCATTCCATACCTAAGTAGCAGCATTCAAAACAGTAATTTCCTTATATATAGTCAGGTTTACGAACCTTTGCATCCAGGTTTTATATATTCTTTTTTTCACAGACTAAATTCAATATCCATAACTTGTGAACTCCCTATTCAAGGTATGAGATATCTGCTTTTATCATTGTTTACTGAATTGTCTCAAGGCCACAAGGGAGTCAGTAGATTTTCAGTGCTTGCTCCCGCCTTCTTACCCAGTGTGGTCATAATCTGCTTGCACTAAATCTCACTGGAGGAGGAGCTAATGAAAACTGGGTTTGGCCACACTCCACTGCCTTTGCATTGTGCAAATGCACATACAATACCAGCACACAAGCATGCATGGAAGACAATCGTCAGCTGAGTTTAATTTTGTATTTCTCTGTGCAGTTCTTTTCATTCCTGCTGATCATATTTGCCATCGAGATAGCAGCTGGATTCTGGGGATTTTCAAACCAGAACAAGGTAAACTAACGACAGTGTGTTTTCAAAATGGATGCCATGATATTTAAAGACAGAATAAAAGTAAAAGCAAGAGCTCTTCAGATACAGGGGAATCTCAGTTTATTAGATTATCATTAATAAACTGAATTACTGCAGTAATTCAGTTCAGAAAGCAACACGTTAGACAGATTTATCAAATACCCAGTTTATGTATTTATTACGTTAGACCAATGCAAATACTTTTAAATGTGAAAATGTCATGTTATGGTCCACACAACAAGACAACTGCTGACATGACAGCTCTCCAGCCGACACTGCTGGCCACAAAAGGAGATTGCAAAAGAAGCTGGTTGGTGTATTCAGACACATTGAGTCATTGAGTACTAGGTCTTTATTTTGGGTAAAAACACAATTATTTAGTACAACACAATGGACAACAAATAAAGGTTATTTTAAAAACATGATCAAAAATGAACATTTTTGACTTAGTTGGAACATAAGTTTTTTAGTTTACCATGCTTGTGGTTGGGTTGCAGGTGTTGGATGTGATCAATGGATTCTACAGACAGACATATGAAGAGTACGATAAAACAAGAGATGAGCGCCTAAAAGAGACTCTGCGTCTGATCCAAAATGAGGTGAGACATGTTGGACTTAATTTTCTCTGACTGACAATTATCTGGACCAATGCTAATTTATCACAAAGAGGGGATTTTGCAAATAAATGTTTTACCTAAATTAGATGAGTGTTTCTTACAGCTGGAGGAGAACTATTATATCTCAGTTGTGTTTTTGTAAGACCTGTAGCTTTATCTGCATAACTATGAAAATGAAGATACAGAAGCTAAAATGGAAAATTCATCAATCATATCCTCAGCTCAGGCTTGCTGGGAACATTTCCATGATTCCAAAAAATTGAGAACTAAAGAACAAGCCAGTATTTTACAGTATCTCTTCAAAACACATAGACTGATTAGGTTACATTGCACTATGTTATCTGTCTGTTTCCAGTTATACTGCTGCGGTCTCAAGGGTAGGTTGGGAGAAACTCATCCTGATCTTTGTCCCCCGGCAGAAGATCTTGAGGTGTTCATTATTAAGGTAAAACCACAAGCTTAATTTTCCAACAAATGTTTTATCTCTGTTGTGACTGTATAATTTGTGTTATTAGTGCCCAAGTATTGTTATGGAAACATCTGTTTGCAGGAGTTTGCACAATCTTTGGCTCTCTTACTTTTATCGGTATATATCGTGTTGTTGAGCATGCTGTAAAGCAAGGGAAATTAATTACTCCTGTCTATTACAGAGCTGTCCTGATGTCATTGACGAGGTGTTTAACTCCAAGTTACACATTGTTGGAGGAATAGGGATCACCATTGGGGTCATCATGGTGAGTATGAGTGGGGTCATTAGTGACACATTTTAATGTCACTAAAGTGTGATTAAGCAATCACATTTCAGTGACACTTGTTTCAGAAGGGTCTCCAACTCAAGGCACTGGAATCACTATGCAAAGTCCCTAGGAAATAACAAAAAGTGTTTATTTTAACTGAAATATTCACATAACAGGTTTCGGGAATAGCACATGTTATTTAATAAATTTATTCCATTGTATTTTCCTTCAATATGTAAAGTAAAACAGGTATTGATGTGGTTAATTTACAGTGACTTGCAGAAGTGTTAATACCACTTCTTACATTTTGTATGTATGTGCAATGTATGTATGTCTGCATGTGTATGTGCAATTTAAGCTCAGTATGAATACAGCTGTTCTGTGAGAGCCTTAATGTACAAGCAACATCATGAAGACCAAGGAACACAACAGAAAGGTCAGGGAAGAAGATAAAGTAGAGGGTCAGATGTTTCACAGAGTCATTTTGGTTCACATGTAAAATACAGAAAACTAACACCCTTAAATTGAACACACCACGTTAACAAAGAAACTTGGTGGCGGCATCAACATTATGCACAGGGGATTCTTTTCTTCAACACAAACAATGAAACTGGTCAGAGTAGAGGTAGCGACAACAATCCAAGACATACAGCCATTCACAGATATGGAAACATTCACACATACTTTTCATCTAGTGAAACTGGTTAGAGGCATATCTCTATAAAATGTGCAGCTGCGATTGTGGCATCAGATGTATCTACAAAGGATACATCAAGAACACATGATAAGCATGTCATCCCTTTTCAGATTTTTATTTGCAAAAATATTTTGAAAACCATTTTTTCTTCACCTAACAACTCATCTTGACTACATATTGCTTCATAAGCAATATGTTTATCACATGGCTTGTTTGTAATTCTAGACTATTTTAATCAGAGAGAGCCAAATAATTCAGCCGATTGCAAAGGTAGCAGATACTTAGGAACAGATAATACACACACATAACATACCCTTTGTATTTCTCCAACAGGTGTTTGGGTTGATCTTTACCATGCTCCTGTGCTGTGCCATCAGGAAATCTCGGGAGGTGGTGTAACACCCACTGGAAGTCATTTTTAATATTGCATGATGTCGTTCTCAGAGTCTCCACTGCCAACAAAAATAGATCACTGCTTTTTAAGGAGGGTGCTAACCTAAGCTAAAGAGGGTTAACCTAATTTTGAATGTAGAGAATGTGAAGGTGTGATACACTTGATTTTGGTCAATCTGGTTTATTTACGTACAGGGTTTTAAGATTTGTGCTACGACACAGCATAAAACATTTCGTACTAACCTTCTGGTCAATGTTTTTTTAATGTACAGACTGGCCTTTCTGGCACAGTAATGATCAAGTTCCAGCATTGAGCCAAATAATTTTAACAACATAGATATATGTAAAGCCAAAACAAATTCTATGGAGACTAAAATTAATGTTTTTTTTGTTTGTTCTGTTTTTTACAATGCTACAATTGGCTTAGTTTATAAATATGGTCCAAAATGAAAAAAGAATTTTGTCAGTAAACAGATTTTGGAAGAATGTTTGCTTGTTTGTTTCTGAGCTTTTTTCTCCTCTTTTATTTAAATGAGACCAAAGCTAACCAGATGCTAGAAGACGTTACCTCAACAGACAGAGTTCATGTCCCAACATATTTTCACATTCTCTCAGTATATCAGTAAATCAGTGACATCTTTGCTCCTAAGATAGATGCAATGTTTTTACTATGTCCATGTATGGAACGGGTGCCATCTGCGTCAGCAGCAGTGTAGTACTGAAATGTGTAAATTTGTGGTTATTTGAAATCAGCATTTGTGAGCTTCTAACTATCTAAGCGAAACAGCATGTCAGTGTGTATTGATGATATTGATTTGTCGATGGCGACCACTTTAGATATCATGCTAATGGAAACACTTCAGTGCAACACAGAAGTAAACAAGGCAACAAAACCGATGATGGCTAGCAGCAATGCCAAGCTAAAATTTATGAGATATTTGTGATTTAAACAAGCTTGGTGTAACAGTAGCATTCAGCTCCATTTTGTCTGTCATTTATTTTTTTAATTTGTCCCTGTTTGAAACGCCTTCTTTGTTTTTTTCAATTTTTGTATGTTTTATATTTCTGTTTGTAAATTTTCAGATTCTTGCTGTGTATATGTCATATGCAGTTTAAACATTTTGCAGTGTTGTCTTGATTTGACAGAATAATTTCATTTATACACTATGCACTGTAACGATGTTAACAAGAGCCAAATACAATAAAGTGATTTAGGATGAATTTGAGGATTTTTTTTTTTTTATCTGTCTTGGACTCACAAGCACATATTCCAAAAAATAACATTCTCACAGGTTGTTTTTAATCATGATACCAAACATTTTTATGATAAGATACCATACTTTTCCATACTATTCCCCAGAGTTTCTAGTTTTTTGTGTTCACTTGGAAAAAAAATCAAGTATTAAAATTCAACATGAATTTATTGTAAACATGTCTGCAGTGCAAATGCTTTAAAACCGCAATTTTAAAAGAGAAGGCAGACAAAAGGAGGAATAAAAGGGACATGAAAAAGGAGATATGGAAAATGAGAAAAATCTGTTACAGTATGGAGCATTCAAAGTATGTATGCAAAGTGAAGAATGCAAAACATGAAGGAGGCCGCTTGGAAGAGATTCTAAGGAAGCAAAGATGAACACATGAAGGAATGAGGGAAGGACTCAAGGGAGGGTGGGAGAAAAGGCATTAGGACAGAAATGGAAAGAAGGATGGACACCATAAAGTAGGTTAAAAAACAGAGACTATTTGACTTTTTCATGTTCCCAGATCTAAACAATGTAAAATTCAATTCAATTCTTTTTCCAGACTCTGCTGGAACTCTGTTTAATCGTATGGACACCAAACATGAATAATTTACTACTTCACTGCCAGGATTAGAAAAGCTGAGGTGTCCTGATAGCACAATAACATTTTCAGTTTGTTCCCTAGTGTGCAGAGAGAGAGAGAGAGAGAAAAAAAAAACACCCACTCCTTCAGCTTTTTCCACTTTGATTTTGGTGACAATCAACAGTGACTCATGGTGATCATAAACAAAGAAAAGAGCTGCCTTTGATTAAGACAAAGTGATTCTGAGTCACTTTGTCTTAATTAAATTGTGGAAAATTTGTCTCAAAAACTAAGGATGCAGAAATAACAGTAAACAGAATGTGTAATAGATTAAGAGTCTAATTAAAATCCAGATGACTCAGTTTCTCCCAAAAGCAGAGGTGAAAACAGCATTTGTGTTCCTTTGATTACAGTACAAGGAAGCAGTCTATGATTTGGCTGATGAAAGTTGGGTGCTGCCAAAGCCCCACTATGTAGATAAGGCTGATTGCAAAAAGGAGAGTACCGGTACTCACTTGTATGGCCATGTTTCTGTGCTATTACAACAGTGTGTTTCTTTTCTTCACACCAAACTGTGATGTTCAAAGGAATGTAGGAGAACAAAGATAAGAAAGAAGCATTTTGAAAGACAAATAGTGACGCAGATGAGTTTTTCTTTTTTCCTAAGAGTAAATTACTTCATGGACGTATTGTGCTGTGAAAACAATTTCTTCTGGGTTTTTTCTTTTTTTGGTCATACTTAAATATTTTAAGTATGAGACAAATATGTCACTATGTCACTTTACTCTGTGCAATGTGAAATTACAAGATTTTTTCCTTATTTTATATGTTTGGCAAAACCTTATCTCACTTCATTCGTTTCCCTATAAATACAGTCATCTCTTATGTTTTCATTTACATATAATAGATTTTCACAGATCAAAAGCATTAGTCTGACAACACTGCAATGAACTATCAAGAAAAAACACATTGAAAAAAATGACAGTGCAATTATTTCATCCAAAATTAGATGTTCTTTTTCTGAATGTTGCCGTAAAAAGTGCATTTCTGGTTTCCAGTTAGAGCAACACAACATCAGTCTTCAACCTCGTCCTCTGAGCTTTCTGAGTGAGCATTCAGGGAATTGTGGGACTTTGTGTGTAATATAGTGTGTGTCCGCAGCACCATGTTCATACGGAGCAGAGTTGTGAGACACTGCAGCACAGCCAGTACCAGCTGATACTTACAAGAGACGGATTCAAGGCCCAAGTCCAAAAGTTTTAATGACATGTTCCCCTTTTTACAAGAGCATAAGTTTAGTTTGCCATCTCCAAGAGGACCTTCGGTATGTATGAGGTTTGTGCTGAGGGCTTTGGGTTGTTTTGGAATCAAAGCCGTAACCCTGGTTTGTGCCTGCAGGAAATGTTTTAGGTTGTGAGAGTAAATCTGCTGGGGCACGCTCAACAGGGCCTTTGCCAAGAGCTGGGAAACTGCACTTGTGTTAACAGAAACTGAGCAACTGTGGCCATATTGATGAAGGGCACGGTGCAGCAGAAACTCAAATGTCCCACCAGCAGATATTACACAACCTGTGTCTATCATACATTTTTGATGAAGATGCACTCTGCATGCAGTTTCATTACTTATATTGTCTGCATGTAAAGATCTGCATTTTTCTGATGGGATGGTTTTCTTTAGAGCCGTCTGAATCTTGTGCAAGGGCTCCAATGCTGTCAGTAGCATTCGAAAGGCGTCTTGAAATGCACATGCATGCTGATCAGCTTGACCTTCGCTTGGGGCACAAATCACCAGGCTACAAGGTTTAACTCTGAGTCTTTCCTCACAATCATGGAAGTCCAAATGAACGTATCTGTCAAAAACAAAATGACAATAGTTAACCTGAATGTTGTACAGTAGATGACAATGTCTTGAAACGTTACACATATACAATGAGTTTTTCTCACATTCTACAATGTTACATTCATGAAACATTAATGTATATTTCACAATAACTCTAGGTCCTCCTACTTTTTTCATGCTGGACATTTTAGTTTAGCAGTAGCAATAGATTAAATGACTTTTAAAATTGATCATACAAAGTAATATCTAAACTCAACAGTAGAATCGAACTTCAATATAATTAATGAGGTTGTGTATTTATGTTTTGTGTCATAAAAACCTTGCTTTAATTATATTTCTTTTTGCAATCAAATCATAAAAAATCAGTCATTATCACAGGGAGAGAGAGAATGCTGCCAAGCCATGAAGAAGGAACACCAGGATTCCTGAAAAAAGAGGAAGTTCCAGCCTGCAGGAAGTTTTAAAGAATTAAGTCTAAACACTTTGAGTAATTGAATAAGAGCCAATGCAAAATATTTATATTAATACTGTTTTAATGCTGAATCAGAGAAGCTGAAAGAGGTTATAGATGTGATTTTGAGAATTAACTTGAAATGATGTGGAATGTGTAACAGCAATCAAAGATCACTGATGTTGTGTTGGTAGATATTACATGACAGATAGAAAGGAAAAGGAAGAACTGAAAGTAGAGCAAATGTGACTGGTCTGTCCTGGGCACAGTCCAGGACAAAAGAAGAACCAACGGAGCAGAGTTTACTGATCAGGGAAATAGAAAACAGTTGGAAGAGACTCAGATGGCTGAGAGAAGGCCTGTGTGTGCAGGCGAAAGGATGGCCTTGAGCAGGCCCAGAACAAAAACACAGACATCGCATAATGTCTCCAAAACAAAGTTGGCTCAGTCAATAAAACTAGCGTGGCAACAGTGCTAGCCAACGTGATCACGTTCACAGCGTGGCCAACGTGATCACGTTCACAGCGTGGAAACCCCTTTAAAAACTGATGAAAAAGAGGAACTGTTGGTTGGATCCTCCAGGCAGCTTGGAGCCAAAATCAAGACAAACAAAGAACTCTGCAGCTGAAGAAGTGCTCCACCTCCTACTGGGACACATTCTTCATCATCAAGCCAAATAAAATTTCTCTTTGGTTATATTAAGATGACTGATTTTTTTTGTCATATTTGATTATTTCTGTTACTGAATAGAGCTGTGCTGACCCTTGCAAACACTGCCTTTAATAATAAAATATTTAGCATAAACCCTACAGGATATGGTGGACATCCAATTAATGTGTCACCTCAAAGTTCTGTGATAGGTGCAATTAATCATGGTGCTTGACTTTGAAGAAAGAACCTAAAATATATGCACCTACCTGTGGGCTCCAAGCAGTAATGGTTTACAGAAAGTCAGTTTTGCAATATGCTCTGGATGAATCCTCCTGCAGTCTGAGATGGGTGTTACCCCACTTAGCTGCGTAAACAGAGAAATTTCTTCTTCACTGACACACTCCACAAGGCACATCCCTGCCTGTGTTGCTGCAGCCAGGACAGCAGAGGACTGTTTCAGTGCACACAAAAGGACAGAGACACCAAAACTCTGCAGAGTTGCAATTATGCCCTCCACTGACCTTTCTGTCCAAGAGCTAAAGTGCACAATACCCCTGTCCTCTGTCACTTTGTCTCCACAAAGCAAATCAAGTACATCTCCTGTGTTGAGTAATTTCGGCTGCAGGTATCCATTGAAAACTACAGCTTTGAGTGGCTGCTTTCTTACTTGGGGGCAAAGCGTAGCAAAGTCTCTGTGAATTATCTGCCCTTCAATCAAACGTGAGCAGCTGACAGGCATGCCTGATACTTGGGTATGCAGTGCTGGGAAGCTGTTATTTAAAAGTTGAATGGAGAATGAGGGTTGGTCATCTGCTACCTTCCAGTGACTGAGTAGTTCACAGAAGAGGTTGCGGAAAAAGTCACAATACGCATAGCCCAGGCGTGTGTGAAAAAACGATACCAGAAGAGTTTGAAAACTGAGATTATGTTGTGTTTTCACTGTGAAATTCTCTAATGAAACACAGAATCCATGTGGCAGCACATTCAGCACAATGAGTTCATCCAACTCAGTCAGTGCAAATTCTAGCAGTCTGTCAGCCAAGTGCCTGGCAGTGGCAGCTTCTGCTGCTTTTGTGGAGTTATGAGGCTGAAACATATGAGGCTCCTTAGTGGTTGTTGCATGAATTATTCGTAGTAATGATGCAAGCAGAAGAACAAAGGTTTTGGATCCATCACCCGTTATTGTGCTGTGCTTCCAGGCGCACCTCACCACCATCCTAAGAAAAAAAAACAAATAACATTGCAGAACAATTAACAATTAACCAAACAGAGCAGAACTATTCACATTTATGCCATTTGTTCTAACCTGGCCAGTGGGTGATCCAAATGTAGTGCAGTGAGTATGCGTTTTCCGCTTCGGCTCAACATTACTTGTCCTGTATCTCTTGTGAACAACACCTGTCCTCCTTCAGGTCCAAAACTCCGAAGGATGATGGACTCCAGTGCAGACACGGTTTGTAAGACGTGATTGAGGTGGAGTTGCTCCAGTGGCACCATCTTTACACGCTGTTACTGAAAATTATAAAGAGGGAAGTGCTTTAACTTTAGATCCTGGATTTGTAAATTCACATTAGTCATCTTACCTTCAAGCTTTATTCTAAAAAGACAAGGTTTACATTTAGATTAGGTGTTTTTTAGATTTAGTATGCCATGTACTGAACACATCAAGAAAACGTCATAAATCGTCTGTGCTTGGTCAAGAATAAATCAGAACAAAGCAGACATATAATGAGTAGGGCTGAGGATGGTTTGTAGAACATGATCTAATTAAAGGATCTGGGACTTCCTCCCAGACAGTCGATCTGTCAGCTTTGAAAGAAAACCCGAGAGGAATACAGTGGAAGGAGTTGAATATCACCTTAGAGACAGTAGTAGGACAAATCAGGATGAATGGGAAGGCATTATTAATGACAGCAGAGGCTTAAGATGTGAAAAAATGCAATGTGACAAAAAGACTTTCAGTCAAAATGCATCAAAAATAAAGGGTTTTCTTTTTGAGTTGAATATAATATAATATAATATAATATAATATAATATGCATGTCTTTTGCTGCTGCAGCTTATGTGGAGTCCAAACAGAGACCATGAATGTTTGGGGACAATTATGGAAATTCCAAGAAGAAATCCTTCTGTCAGGTTTCAAACTCAGGCAACAGTGTCAACAATTGTACCACCGTGCAACTAATAAATTATCTTATTTCTTGGGATTTTTAATTATCTTTATTAAGAGTGCCAATAAATGTGGCTAATACTGCTTAAAATACTTTCTGAAATGTAAAATGTACAATATCTTTAAGGTATGTGTAGAATATGGATCACCACGATTAAGAGCTATCTAATCTTTATTTTTAAAAAGCAGAGAAAACGTTCACAATATAATATAGAACAAGTTTTACGTCGTCTCAATTGAGTCATAGGGTCAAGTTTTGTGATATTGAAATTTTGCTTCAACTTAAGAACGCATGCAGTTTCACGATTGCAAATATAATTTTAACAAAATCTTTGAATCAGTTTGTCGATAAATAAACATTGAGGAATCCAAACTAAATTTTTCTTGTATTCACCTTAACATTTAGATGAGTTCTATAGAGAGCACGGTCTTTGTTTAAAACAGCGTTATTAAACAAACACGGTTTGTTGTTTCTGAAACAAACACTGTCTGCTTAAGACCGGAAAATGAAAAACAAATAACCACAGTTTCGTTGTGAATGTGTGAGCAGCTAATCCTGCTGCCTCGAAAATCATTAACGATGAAAACTCGACGGCAACGAAAGACTAACGGTACCACGGTAGCATTTACAAGCTAGCTCTTCACATGACGCCACCGAAAAGCTTCACAAGCGACCTTAAATTTATAAACTACAGTTATAAACACATAATAACCTGAGTAACTTAAGAGAAAATAAATAAAATGAACGAGAAAACTCACACGCCAGTCGAACAGGAAGGATTTTTGTGTTGCCTAGAAACAATCCTTACTCTTTGATTGATAAAACTCGCCTCAGAGTAAATGATTGCCATCTAGCGGATCAATGAGGAAATTGCGTGACTTTTGTTAATTTTTTATCCCCCAACTCTCGAATATAATGAACGTATAAATACTATTTTCTACAGGCTTGAAGCACACATTAATAATCTTACTTTACACCGCCCTTCTTTCTCCACTAAAAGTTTCCATTAAATTAGATTAAATTGAATTAACTTAAACTAAAATAAATTAAGCACAGTTCAGTTCAGTTAAATTAAATTAAATTAACGAGCAATTTGTTGCTTGTTATAAAGAACTGTATAAATATTTCATTACAATCTGTATTTAATTTTGTAATTTTAATTTGATCAGGATTACAGTGCCCTGCAAAGGTAGTCATAATCATCGAACCTATTCAGATGTTGTCATGTTCAAGCGTAAGAATATTTCATTGGGTTTTGTGTGATTGAGTAATTTAAAGTAGCGAGGAATTATCTGGTGGAAGGAAATGATGACTTGTTTTCAAAATGGTTTGCAACTAAAATATCTTAAATATGATTTAAGGTATTTCACCCTTTTCATCACTGGGTCCATGAGAACACTACTGTCCCCAAGACAGTTATAGTGTTAAATGTGTAAAAGTATGTTTAAATTCCTGGCTTCCTTGTAATTTTGAAAAACGTTTCCATCACCAATCAGGATGTCTAAGAAGTATCAATGCGAGTCTGCAGACTTAGCAAAAAGAGAAATGACACTTTAAGATGCAGAAAATTTTGAAAAAGAAGATACACAAGAGTATGTTTCTATGTGTTGTTTCATCTGTTTTATCCCACAGGAGGCGATAAGTCAGCCCATTCCCTTGACCTGTCTGCTCCCCTTTACATCTCCTATACAGTAACACTGGAACGTCAAGGTGAACTGATCAGCATAGGAACCTGATCGCTATGTTACTGCAGAAACCCCATCCCAAGCTTCTAAATCAGGCTACAACATCTATACATATAATATGAGGCAGTTCTGCAGCTTCTACTGGATGTACACATACACACGAACACGCACAGCTGTCCACGCTGAATGTAAATGCCCTCCACTGCTGAACTCTCAGTATGCTAACGAGCTTTAAAAAGCAGTGTCACTACTCTAATGAATATGCATCAGAAGCCCGGTGAGGGTGACCTGTAGGGATGGGACAAGAGGTCTCGAGAGGTGGGGCGGCAGGAATGCACACCGCATCTCTCACGAGACCTGATTGGACAGGAAAAAAACATATTCACCACAAAAGAACACTCACGATCTCTCACATCCACACATCCTCAAATAAACACACACCCTCAACCCTATCATGCCCCACCCTCCCCGTTGTTGCCTCTTGATCCAGCTACACACACCTGCTCTGCTTTGGTTGATGTCTGAAGACTAGTACGATGTAGAACTCCAGGGCAGCGAACTGATCCACACATCAGAACATTTCTTTTTGCTTCTCTGAGTTCTTCAACTTCCCTCAACCTCTTCAAATATTGAAGGAACAGAAAAATCTGAAATTTGGACATCTTTTACCACAGGTATGGATTCAATATTTTTTTTTCATTATATCATTAGAAAGCCATTGTAACAATTTCAGAAAATGTATAGATTTACAAAAAAGTGCATGTAACAAACCACATAAATGAGATGTAAGCAGGCCTGCACCAAAAATGTGAATATGTTTAAAAAAATTGATAAAAATGACAAAGACTATATGTGTGATTTCAGATTCAACAGCAGATTTTTAAGATTAAGAAAAAAAAATTGTTTTATAGGTACAGTATGTTGCAATCTTTGCTACAATGAAGTAGTGCAGTTAAATCAGGCATATAAAAAGGTGTAGTTATTTTTATTTTATTTTTTTTTGGCAGAACTTACACAGATAATCAATTTCATCATTATAAAAGATGCAGTTTAGTTAGTCTAAGATATAAGTAGCATTTATCAACCCTCATTACTGACTTGAAGCTCAAAAAAATCCTTTGAAAGTGAGATAAGTGTCTGCATGGATGTGCTGATTCAGCCCCAGATACTCAATATCTGTGATGTCTGCAGAATTGAAAATAACAACCCAAAACATTTCCTGTGCTCAGGAGTCAAGTTTTGGCAGCACTTATTGCACTGGCGTGACCTTGGCACATGACTCTGACCTCTGGCAGCTGAGCGTGGAACAGCGGAGATCCACACGTGGTGCTTCACACACTCCCTACCACCCTTCACCAGCCCCCCCGCCCAGCTGTACCTCTTTAACTGCATTTCAGCAGCTTTGGCAAAGACAGCAGCTTTCATATCCTGTGTTTGAGTGTTTTTGCAATGCCAGCAGAAACAAGAGAAGTTATTTGACACTGGTGTCTATACTCCATTTATAAGCACGTTATTACATCAAATATTTGATCAACACTAAGGAATCTGTCGGTGATCACACCGTCTGCGCTGAAGGGCTCTTCAAATTATGTTACATAACACTACACACTTTATGAGATTTATAGCTGTGGCAGTCTCTGCCTTGTTTGAAAGGTGATGTTGCAGATTGGTGCTGAGCCTTTTTTTTTTTTTTTTGCACTGTTTTCATTTTTCTGACAGTGAAGTCCCTGATCTGTCACTGCGACCGATAATGAATCGACAAGCTGCACCAAGTACCTCATTCAGCCCCACTAAGATCCCAAATGCAGCAACTACACCGGGCAAAAACCAAACTGGAAGCCACGGTGCCAATAAATTCATGAATGAGCTGCGGAGCATCCACAGTGAGTGGAATGGATTTCCTTTGGATCACAGTCGTATTTCAAAACTATTGTTGTATGTCAGCACTTGTGAAAAGGACTAGTGATCATTGCTTTTGCTCCAATATGTTAAATATTTAATATACTACTTAAATACACGATATTGGAGGAAGTAAATGCCTGGATTTTGCAACAGTTTTAGTAGGACATCCTGGAAGCTTTCAAAGGGGAAGGTAGATTGGAGCCACAAATAAATCAGAAGCCATAGTAGAATTTTATTAATTTTTATAATGCAGCTTAATATTAAAGGTAGGTGGGAGACAGCAGAGAGTATATAAATTATAGACATATAAATGTGAAACCCAGGGAAGAAAGTAATAAAAATATTGACATTAAAACTAAGAATAACAAAAATAAGTAAATAATTAAAACATACTCTCCTATCTTATAATAATGATAAAAATACATATGAATGTCTGTCTGGGTATATGGCAGGAGGGAAGAGGGCTTGTTGCTGTTTTTGCATACAAATTACAGGAGATCCGTATTTATCTACACCACAGCTTTAATATTAGGTTTAGGCTCTGTCAATATCAGTGTAGAGGATCTACACCCTTTCTGAAAAAAAGTCTATCAAGATGACAAATTTTTTGGAAAGATCTTGGAAAAAAGAATTACTCCAATTGTTCCTGTGACTTCACCAGGCTTAAATGACAATGTAAAGCAGTCAGTGAAACAGACCAAAAACAAGTACGATGTGCTTAAGGCCAAGAATTACATAACGTCAGAGGTGCTGCAATGATATTTTCAAACAGCCTTATATTGATTATTCAAGTGTAAATTGGGGTAATTAAAGCACCTTATTTGATATGTGTTTCTTCAAAAGAAAATTACCTCAGATGTAATTTTTGAAAAAGCTTGCTTAGGGATTTAAACCATTACGACTCCTTTTGTGGTTATTTTAATGTAGCTATGAGCAAATAAAGTGGTGACAAAGTGAAAAGATTGAGGGAGCCCGGGGAAATCTTAGAGTGGAGAGGCGAACACTGGAAATCTGTTTTAATGTGCGTGACCTTCAGGCGCTGAGGCAGCACAGCATGAGAAAACATTATGCCACCATGATCAATATAGTCACTTGAGACAAGGAGTGCCTTGGAGACCCATTATCAATTAATGGTGTTTACTGCTTCCTCCATAAAGGCCATGTGTTATATAAATACAAAGTCATAGATAAATGCTGTTTAGAAACATTCTAAAGTTCTCTGGGTGCAGAAAACATGATAATGAACATTTTTTTTCTACTTTCAGAGCATCATTGTGAATAGGAATTTTATTTTAGATACATTCAATTTTTTCAAAACTCAGAACAACTTATAGAGAGATTGTAAATTATTTACTACAAGCTAATAAAATATTTTACTCAGCAAGAATAGACACATTTCGCAATAATCAAGATGCAGAAAATCAGAAAAATTTACCTTTTCTCAAATTCACCAAAGAAAATATCTAAACTGATCTACAATTGTCATAAAACATTCTACAAATGTATTACCCCAAAATCTCATGGTAATGAGTTATCAAAAGATTTTTTAAAAAGTGTCAAGTCGTCTGCAAAATTTAGCACTGTGGGAGGAACATTCATAAGTCCTGTAATCCAAACTTTATTTTTGTTAAGTTAACCAGGGTGTCCAGGGATGTCTAATTAGAAATTTTTTACACATTTTTACCTGTTAAGAAGGTAATGTTACTAAACTGGACCAGATGCAAATGCTTTATTATTTTCTCCCATACATTTTATGTTTGTGATTCTGTAGAGCCATCCTGGGCTGCAGCTGCCCTTTGCATCGTCAGTTTGTGCATGGTGCTGTCATGTGTTCTTTGCATCTGGAAAAAATGCTTTACAAAGAAGGACAAGGACAAAGAAAAGGACAAGAAGAAAGGAAAAGAGAAAATCAAGGGAGGTTTTGACACTGAAATGGATGGCGGTCACAATGAGGTAAGCCAGCGCACAACAAACACATTCACGGACAGTCACCTCATGCAGACACATTGTCCTTGTAATGTATCATAGCCCTGACGTCTGGGTCACCCAGGACGAGTTAAACTGTCAGTGCACTCTAAGACTAATGGACATGCTGCCCATCGCTCATGTTAAATGTAAAGTTAAGGTGAAGTGATGAAAGTTGCTTTGAAGGAGATGACTGCCTTATCTGAACAACAAATGTCTACTGTTACATTGCTTAATGCAGAAAAATAGCACAAACTAGTCCGTTTCCATGTTAAAGAAAAGGCATGTTTAAATGCATATTCAGCACTTATGTTGAATCTGTGTCTGTCTGTCTGCAGCCCACAAGAGATGAAACAGTCAAAGAAACAGAGATTTCAAAACATGAGCGCAAGGAACTCATGCCCGAGGAGAAGCTCGGCCGACTTCACTTCACATTAGACTACAACTTCACCGAAAATTCGGTGAGTTTCTGCAGCTGTTCAATCTTCCAACTGGTTATCAGCTGTGTCTTCATCCTGCTGCCATCCTCTGTGTTCACGCTCCAGCTAGTGGTCGGCCTCCTGGAGGCATCAGAGCTTCCTGCAATGGATGTGGGAGGCAGCTCTGACCCTTATGTTAAACTCTACCTGCTCCCAGACAAGAAGAAAAAGTTTGAAACTAAGGTCCACAGGAAGACGCTGGAACCACATTTCAATGAAACCTTCACATTTAAGGTAAAACATTCGAATAGGCAGCCTATTTAAAAGGGCTGGTTTGATAATAATAGTGCTGACATAGTCTACTTATGTTTTTTTTTTATTTTTTTTTTATCAGACATCATTTTTCAGATCATTTCACAAATGTTGGTATCAGTAACATATGACCTGAATAAATTCAAGATGGAAATTTTAAATAAGAATTTTATGAAGTAAGTAAAGCAATCCAAACCAATGTGAGCCTTTGGGGAAAAAAAAGTTGCCCACCTTGCCAGCAACAATCACTATCAAGTAATAACAGGGAGGTTTTTACATCACCATGGAGAAATTTAAAATTTTGAGCCATCATAATTCAACCAAAAAGACACATCAGACATTGAAATTTGTTTTATGATCTGAAACATTTAAATGCAACAAAAAAAAAAAAAAAAAAATAGAAGAAAAGGAGGTTGATACTTTTTTCACAGCACTATAGCAATGTGAATTTTTGCTCTCCTGTGAAGGTACCATATACGGACTTGGGCGGAAAAACCCTTGTGATGACTGTGTATGACTTCGACCGATTCTCAAAGCACGACGCAATTGGGGCAATAAAGATACCGATGAGCAGTATAGACTTCAGCCAGTCTCTGCAGGAGTGGAGAGATCTGCAGAAGGCTGAGAAGGAAGAGGTGGGAAGATAACTTTACAGAGATCATTGCACTTGGATCTTGAAATTATGCATAATGAAAAGCCTGAGGGTTTTAAAAATGACCTGTTAGGGAAAAATCTTTTTTAAAAGAAATCATTTCTGTTAGAGCAGGGTTAGGTTAACCCTAATCAGACAAAATTATGCTAATTTAAATTATTTGGAGTCCAGCTGTTCTAAAGCAGATACCTACGACCATTATATTAAAATATCATAAAATATCCATTATCTGACATTCTTCCAACTTGATCTTCATGTTTGTGAATCAGAGCGAGCGGCTTGGAGACATATGTTTGTCCTTGAGGTTTGTTCCAACTGCAGGGAAACTGACTGTGGTTGTCCTCGAGGCCAAGAACCTGAAAAAAATGGATGTGGGTGGATTATCAGGTGAGCCTATCTGCAGAGTTCATGCAAATTTTGCATTTTAAAACTGCAATTAACAGTAAATGCTTTCCGTTAATTACTAATGAATAATGATGCCTCTCCTTTACAAAAGTCTCAGAAAATAGGAAGTTCTGTGATTTGTTTAGCATCTAGAACCTGTTGAAATTCAAACTTTTGGGTCCAATTGAAATCCAGAAATGAAATAATCCACAGGATATAGGTAATGAGATTACTTTTCCTTGCTGAACTTGTCTTTATACAAAAATAACACAAAAATCAATGAATTAATAAGGTGAACCACAATTCAAGTTGTGATGTGGCTGAACAAAAATAAACGTCAAAATCTAAACATAAATTCATGTTAAAAGCCTTTTCTTCGTAAGAAATCCAGATTTTTATGTTTTGCACATTGGGATAAAGAAAAAATAAAGCCTAAAAACTTTTTATCGTATTTACCCAGACTTGGAAAATAACAAAATAAAAATTCCAAACTCTTCCTGACTTTTTAGGAACTTTGAGTTCATCTTAGATTCCCATCACTAAAATGTTTTAACATTTAAAGTAGCTGATATGGGTCAGTTCATACCACTTGGATCTTAAATAAGGAATCACTACAACTAATGTTGCTTTTCATTGATAGAGTTACAGAACGGGTGCCAAGCTTTTGGTCTGCTGCTTTAACATAAAACACCCCTGTTCTCTCTTGCAGACCCATATGTGAAGATCCACTTAATGCAGAATGGCAAACGACTGAAGAAAAAGAAAACTACTATAAAGAAAAACACTTTGAACCCTTATTACAATGAGTCATTCAGCTTTGAAGTGCCATTCGAACAAATAGAGGTACGCTAAAGCGGTATTTGGGGATACATAGACGTGAATAATGTTCAGCATATAATTCTTCTGCATAAACTTTCTTTGCAGAAGGTGCAAATAGCAGTGACTGTGCTGGACTATGATAAGATTGGGAAGAACGATGCCATTGGAAAATTGCTTCTGGGCGGTAACAGCACTGGGACTGAACTGTGCCACTGGTCAGACATGCTGGCCAACCCACGTCGCCCAATAGCCCAGTGGCACAGCCTTAAATCAGAGGATGAAGTCAACTCATTACTTTCCAACAAGAAATAAACCAGTATGCAGGAAAATCAACGATTCATTTTAGGCTTATTTACCATCCTTCCTTTTATTTATCTTCCCAACTATACTAACCATGTAAATATTTTTGTTTAAACATATATGTTAAAATAATTGATTGTAAGATTTTTAGAGTTACTTTTTTATGCTTCATCTTAAAGATTACTTAAAAAATACATAACTATATAATGTGCAATAAAACAAAAAGATAAAACATTATGTTACATCTGTTTTATGTTCACTGCACTAACACACAAAATCCACCAGTAGAGGGAGACAATTTAAAGTTCTTCAATGAATGTTTGACAAAGTAACACCTTCTTACCTTCTTACCTCATTAGGCAAGAAGAGTTGACACAGCTATAACATAATAAAGAAAATGTTCCAGCTTACATTTAAGGTGCATTCTTCTGTATGGGCTCTATAGATGTCTTAGCTTAATTTTGAATAATTTGATAATCTAATCTAAACTTTTGGTGAACTATACATTGAAATGACGAGTTACATATATTTGTTTTCCTTCAACATTTTCTTGTTATATTTTAGATGGGTATTAAGCATTCACTCACAGTTCTGTTCTGTGTACATTCATGTCAAATTATTTGTGAAAGTTGTGACCACATTTCATATAAAGTATTTTAGGATGAATACAGACATTAGATTTTTATATGTTACTTTTTATGTTAGCATCTCATAAAAGTAAGCAGTTGAAAACGGTAAAAATTGACAATAAAACACAACTATCCCAAACTACCAATATTTCAAACTTTTAACACAAAATAAAGTAAAGAATTAAGAATTAAAACCTCACAAACAATGTTTAAAAAGAAAGCTAATTCATACATAGAATCACTATAACTTGATATTATTTTGAAAGCAAGAAAATTATATGATAATGGTGATGGTATATGAAAGAATACTATAACTAGATTAAACACATGTATCTTTAGCATACTCTGGTAGCCTACTTTGGTAGGCTAAAGATAAGCTAAACATAGAAGAACTAAATCTTTAGTCACTCATCTTATGATGTCACATTGACAACCATTTGTCAAAATGGGAAAAAATAATATTTTCTTACTTTAAGGAAATACACCCTTTAATGAAGGCAGATGTATCTTGATCTTCATCAGTCATATAATGGCTACAAAACATTTACTGGCCTCAATCTGCCTCCATCTATCTTGCTGCTTACTCTTAAAAGCATCACCATGCCAAGCTGCATTGATGCAGTAATTAATACAATAGCCACAAACGGCGTGTATAGATTGTTTTCATAGACTAGACCAATATTGTAGAAAACTGAATTCTTGGTTTCATCCTCTATTAGGTGTAACAATAAATAATAAATAAATAAATAAACAAATAAATAAATTGATGCTATGTGCAATCTTTTTTCTATTTTTTTGCTTCTTGAATAAAAGTACAAAAACAAATACATTTTCAAAATGTGCTACTCGATGTACCTGTAAATGAAAGTTAGACTGGTTAGAAATGTCTTACAACATACTAGCTAGATTAATAGACTCATTCATAATTCAAAAATAAATACATTATTATGGAAACTGAAATAATTTTCTTCAAATCAAAGAGAAATCTCACAGTGTTGACAGTGTAATGCCAACACTGTTAGTAACCGAGTATTTGCTCTGCTCTTATGAGGTCATTTCAATCATGATATACCAAAATATGACATGTAGTTGGTTATTTAGCGTTTGTCCTCTGCTCAATATAGGGAAACTAATGCTCTTGGTCAGAGTATCACAGTCACAAAGGCCTCCTCCACAATTTCCCTCCCTAAATCACAGTATGAGAAAGCTGACCCGTGCAGTCAGAATGGGGGTGTTGGTGTAACACAGCGCTCACTGCAGGCTCACCTGTGCACACGGGTGTGGACAAACCGCTCGTCATCCTCCCCAGGAGGGGCTTTCGTCTCCTCCAGGTGGCTTTGCAGGTGCAGCTGGGTTTCATCCCGCTTCCTTCTTCCAGATATCCTAAACCCTTTCCTCTTGGGACAGCTGAGATGCACCGTTAACGTTTCGGTGGGACTTCCTTTCGACCTCTGAGATGAACGTAAAGTGGACAGTGAAAGGATTTCTTCTTCTTTCGTTTTCAGTCTCCCACTTGCTGTTACTTGAGGGTAAGTTAGAGTTTTGCTTATCCAGAATGTCATCACCCAACACTGCACATTGTCATTTTTTATTCCATTCGAGAAATGATTTTAGTTTCAAGTTTCTTTTTAAACGGCAATACTTTGCCTGTCACTTTAACATGAAATTAACTCAATTAGAAGTGACTTGTTTTTTTTATACTTGTCATATAAAAAAACAGCTTCCTTAACTTTCTTCCACAAATTTAGATTTATTTCATCCAGTCAAATTTGTTTCTGAAAGGAAATGATAAGGCATCTGTCAAAAAAATGAAATAATGCACACAACTGTATTATCAATTATTATTAATCAATTTCAGTCAAATTTTAATTAACTGAAATTAAATTTATCCATGCTTTAATTAATATGGATAAATTCCATGTCAGTAATTATTTTGCTTTAAAATTTTAAATAATCAATGGAAAACATACGTTGGCTTTACAACAAACAAGTACTTTGGTTATTTTTATAAATGCTGTTCTCTCGTCTGATTGCTCCAGTGTGAGGTTTGAAGGTCTCCTTGCCATCAAACTGATCGTTTTCTCCCTCTTCAGATCCTTGTCAAATTAAAGTCAACATAGGGATTGGGTCACTCCAAAGCATTGTTGTTACTGCTGTAGCTTCCTGTCAGACGGAATGTATTGCTGAAATTAAAAGATTGCCTTAAATCTTTTAACCTTTATTGTAACATTTTTTATTGCAAAACTCAAAACTGATTTGTCTTGCACACATGTCAGCCTATGAAAATAAGTTTGTTTTTAAAAAGGAGCCTCACTTTTTAAGATTTAAAACTCTAATACTGATGTTGTGTCATTTTATTTAGGAGGTCAGAGCCGACTTTCAGTGGCAGAGGGAAGATCACAGAGGTAAATGAAAGATGTGGAAATGTTTTGTTGTGGGTTTTTTTTTCCACAAATGATTCCCACCCAAAGCCATAGGAACTCCATGATAAATGCATGCTTTCAACCAAGACAATGTGTGTGACAGAACCTGATTGAATGTGAACTTGCATTTTTTTGTGTGGAAGGCTTGAGTGAAGCAGTTTGGAGACTGGATTCAAGTGGTGTAAAGTGCACTTAAGTCTCCCCTCTGACTGTTTCTATCCACTAATGTGCATGTTTGTGTGTGCACAGGAGGGCTAATGCACTTCGGAGGAAACGGGATCTCCTTGGGGAGGAGGTTTGTACACTACACCTAAGAGAACCAGAGGAGGTCAGGGCACCCTCATGCGCATAACACCTCATCAGGCACAAAGCCGTCTTTGTAACCAACTGGACACAGTCACAAACACGCACACATTTCACCCACTCAGTCTGATACAACTTTTAACTTAAAGCAGCAGATACACAACTGGTGTAGCACAGAGTCAGTGAGGCTGTTAATGTATGAGAATTTTTACAGGAAATGATCTAAATGTCTTTTGTATGTTGTTTTTTTCCCCCCCAAGACATATAGGCCATTGTTGCCAGAAAGCTCACTGTCACGCAACGTTTTGCACAACTATACAGCCAGAGATGAATCTTCAGGTAGATACGATCTAGAAATTCACCCTACGTTTACAGAACATAAAACTCTGTGAGGAAAGAATTTCAGTTTGTCTTTCTGTCTGTCTCAGAATATTGTGGCTGCCTTAATGGAGGTTGGTGTCAGGAGGACAATGTGTGTGACTGTTCTCAGTTTCAGGCATTGGGAGACCGCTGCCAGATCAGTAAGTCATTCACTCGCATCTTCACACATTCATATCTTCCTCTTATGTCAGCTCATGTTCGTGTCTGTCTTGGAAATGCCTTCCTAACAGATTCAGACTTTATGACAGCTGCGATGAGACTCTTTCGAACATTAATGATCTAAACACTTAACCGTTGCATTTAGTAGAGGTTTCTTAGTCTGTTGGTATTATTATTTCTTGTCATAATTCCAAACCATGTTCAAACACACCCACTCAAAAAGATCTGCATAAAAGATATGACCAATAGCTATGAGGTTTAGTTGCTAAGTCAAGGGTGACAAAGTTTGTAGCCTTTAAATTTGAATGTAATTTCTGGTTCTGACCTGTAGGCATCCATCCAGATATCCAAGTAAATATTCTTTTTTCAATTTGAAGAACTAAATTCAAGACTGTATTTCTAACTGAGTTCATTGAAAATCGTGCGTCCACCCAGCTATACATTGAGATTTAAAGTCTCACGACTTACCAAATACCTGCCAAGAGCCTTTTGAATTTAGGCTTCAAACATTGGATAAAAAAACAATGAGAAAACAATGAGAAGCCTGGAAATTTGAGCATACAAAAGTGTGAAACGTGTAGGGATGCAGTTGGTGCTAAAATTAACTAAGTTCTGTTGTGATCTATGAAGACACTTCGATGTTTGACAAAAAAGTTAAAGAAAAATGCAAGTTTTGTTTAAATATAATTGTCAAGGTTAAAATAGTTAACATACTTAGGAAGCGTTTCTGATTGAGACACAAATGAGTGCCCAAAATACCACTCACTGATAAAATTACAGGATGTGAATCACTGTAACCGCCATCCATGCTCTCAGATTATGGGAAGGGTCTTGAGCAGCATTTTGGCAAAGCAAGCCATGGGGATTTTCCAGCAACAAAGGGCTTTTACAAAATTCAGGTATTCGTTTTCAACTGATAAGTTTAATTAAATGCAAAATGATGAAATATGATAACCAAGATCAGATGATGTTTGCCCTCTCAGTTTAGTAAAAAAAAAAAAAAAAAAAAAAAAGGACAAAAAAATCCTTCCTCTTACAAGAACGATTTCCAAATTAATTAAACCGTTGTCTTGCTAGTACCTAACCAAGGCCAGACCAGAGATGGGATCTGCAGGTCGTGGGGTCAGCATCACTTTGAAACATTTGATGGGATCTACTTCTTCTTCCCTGGAACCTGCTCTTATATTCTGGCTCAGGACTGTCACTCATCTACTCCAGAATACACAGTGTGGGTAAGGCCAATATACA